TCCTCACTATCTGCAAGTGATAACTCCCTCTGGAATGTAACTAAAAAAATCCTTAAATTCCAATCCATTTCCCACCCCCTCCGCCGTGATGATGGTTCCGGGCCTTCGTCAGATGAGAATAGAGCAGAAGAGTTTGCTAAACATCTATCGTACACATTCACTCCTCATCCTGAACTCCATCCCTCCCATACTGCTGAAGTTAAAGAATTCCTCTCTTCACCGATTCCTCTCTCCTTACCTCCTACAGCCGTCAACCCCTCTGAGGTCAAATTCCTTTTAAAGAACCTAAAACCTCGCAAATCTCCAGGACACGATCTCCTTACTTCCCAGATCCTCAGACAACTTCCCAAAAAAGCAATTATATTCCTTGCATACCTATTCAACTGTATCCTCCGCACAACCCACTTTCCTCTGGTGTGGAAACACTCCATAATTATCCTCTTTCCTAAACCAGGTAAACCTGTTAATTGTACATCATCCTATAGACCGATAAGCTTACTTCCGATCCTTTCCAAAATCTTTGAGAAAATCCTTCTCAAACGCATCCTACCCATACTCGAATCCCACAATATCCCTTCCCATCAGTTTGGATTCCGCTCAAGACACTCCACTATCCAACAAGGCCTTCGCGCTGTGGACCACATATACTCTGCACTTGAAAACAAGCAATATTGCACTGGTGCCTTTCCGGACGTAGCTCAAGCTTTCGACCGGGTGTGGCACGATGGCTTGCTTTTCAAGCTCAAAACCCATTTATCTCAACCCTTGTATCTAGTCCTCAAATCCTACCTTTCAAATCGCTCCTTTCAAGTCCGCTGCGGCACTGAACTCTCCAAACATTATCCAATTGAGGCTGGTGTCCCACAAGGCAGTGTCTTGGGCCCAGTTCTCTACATCCTTTTTACCGCTGACATCCCTTCAAGTCCTGATACCTTCCTAGCAACATTTGCTGGTGATACTGCCATCCTATCCTCCCACTCGGATCCTCTAATTGCGTCCCGGAACCTGAAAAGACACCTCTCCTTCATTGAGCAGTGGTGCAACAACTGGCGCATCAAAATTAATAAATCAAAATGTAAACATGTAACTTTCACTCTTCGACGCAGATCCTGTCCGCCAATCCTTTTTAATTCAATTCCTCTTCCCTACTCAGACACAGTCCGATACCTTGGCTTCCTTCTGGACAAAAGACTGACTTGGAAACCACATACGAGACTTAAAAGACAAGAGCTTAACCGACGATTTGGTCAGCTATATAGACTACTAAACAGAACATCTCATCTCTCAACAGAAAACAAATTATTAATCTACAAGACCATACTGAAACCTATCTGGACCTACGGACTTGAGCTGTGGGGGACAACTAAATCATCGAATATCAAACGCATCCAATCCTTCCAGTCTAAAGTCCTTCGAACAATAGTCAATGCTCCATATTATGTCACGAACAAGACCCTACACCATGACCTTAACATCCCATATGTCCATGACATCATCCCATCCAGATTCTCCAACTTTCACCAGAACCTCATACATCATCCCAATCCTCTAGCCCAATCCCTATCCAGCTCCGAGCATCCATACCATCCCCCTCGAAGGTTGAAACGGCAGTGGCCTCGAGATCTTTTGTAAATATGCCTTTGGAGTCCTGGCAATGGCCAGCTTCTCCACTCATGTCCTGAGCGTCTGTGGCTCTAGTGCCCTCTTTCAGTCTCCACTGGCTTCTAATACTAGTGATGCGGCTGGAAAAGTGGCGCTGGGATCTTCCGGAGTCTTGCTTTGCCTTCCACGTGTGGGGGAAAAAGCCTGGTTCGGAGATTCATGGGCGAATGTATATATTGTATATAGTTATGATTGTGTTTAGAAGTTTTTATTTTATTTTATTTGTTTATTATTATTATTTTTTCTTTTCTTTTTATTTATCTTCTTCATCAGTATTATTTATTTACTTCTTATATTTATATTTATTTCTTTATTATTTGTATATATTATATGAATGAGAACTTTTAGCCCTAATGCTTATAGCCCTCCAGCAGTGGCTGCATGTATTATTATTCAATAAATAGATTTAAAAAAAATAATAATAAGACCTATTTGAACTTATGGAGGTGAGCTATGGGGCTCCACTAAACCATCAAATTCTTCTCGTATCCAATCTTTACAATCCAAAATCCTTCGTAAAATCCTCAATGCTCCTTACTTTGTCACAAATAAAATAATCCATAAAGACATCAATGTTCCATATGTTTCCGATTTGGCCTCGGATAATCCAGATACCTATCCTTCAATAATAAACTTCATAACCATCCGAATCCTCTTGTTTCTAACCTTGCTTCCTCTTCGATTCCTGATAATCCTCCGAGGCGTCTGAAAAGACGATGACCTCGTCATCTTCTCATGTAGACAAATTATTAGAGTGCTACCAATGGGTAGTTTCTCAACAAGCGTGTTTCATGTGATTATATTGCTCTGTACACATTTACTTGATTATGATATTTACTAATACAGTTGTAAATATCATAATAAAATTTAAAAAAAAAAATTATAACTCTAAGAGAAATAGCGCCAGATAATGAAGAGACTTTCGTCTCTGTTTCAATCCCTTAAGAGAACAAAATTGAACATAAAAGTATCAGCGTGACGTCAATGAGCCTCTGTGGGGGATGCTAAAAAATTGTAAACACATAACCAGAAAAAAATGAGAATTGTTAATATCCACTCAAAAATAAAACAGCGCCCCCAAATAATTCTCTCAAAACCCATCTTCCGGACCTTCCAAGAACTCCCAAACAAACTTTTTAAAAGCTCGCTATAAATCAATCAGGGATTGAAAAGTCTATTATCCTTGACGCAGCTTGCTAATTGATTTTCGTTCGGTATTGGCGGAATGCAAATGTGCGAAGAGGCGGATGTTGGTAGGCAGCGCCCGGGGCGGCCGGCATAATCACCATAATGCTCTGTAATAATCTAGGCCACTCTCCAGCTATTTAGTTTCACCTCCATAAACCATGTCTCCAGCTGTAAACTGGAGAACGGCCGAGGCAAGGTTGTTGTCTTTGGCTCTAGATGATTTATGAGACATCCGACGCCCAAACATTGTGCTGAATACATCTCCATAAAAGGGTTAATGGAACAGTATAACCAATAGTCCATGGTACAGACCCCTTATTATCAAATTATTAACATCCGCCTGAAACTGTCCACAAATATTTTATTTATGAAAACTCTTGGAATTGGGACGTTTTCAATCCATAGGTTGCAAACCATGTGATGTTTACTTAGGTACTGAAAACTCTTATATACCCATTTGATTTCCTCTTGGATCACAAAATAAAAAAAAAACGGTTGCCTTCAAAAATATTGGGCAGTTTGGCCTATATAACCTCGTTATTTTGACAATTTAGGAGTGGAGGTCACGCCAAAATGTGAAGGCCACCTATTTTCTCGACTTTGTACTCAAATTCTCTTACGATTAAAGTGGAAATCAAATGGGTATTCAATTAAATAGACAAGTTTAGTAGTAAATAAACAAGTGTCGACGTTAAGATTGAAAACAACCCAATAACAAGAGTTTTCGTAAATAAAATATTTGTAGGTTAAGATGAGATGAAGCTATTTTTATTTATTTTATCTTCAAGTAAAACAAATTTTTTTTTTTTTTAATTTTGATATATTTCATGGTCTAAATATTCTGTTTTTCTCCATATTTGAATTTTAAGGATATTTGTATTTCATCATAATTTCTGTCAACTTGAATTAGTTCTAATTTCTAATAAGGCGATGGGGCTCTCCCTTTTTTTTTTATTATTTTTTCTGCTCTACCACATTTATTTCCAGGCTACACACAGTATATACATCGCTAACAATAATATTTATATACGTTGAAAAGGATTTATTTTATATTATATATATATATATATCGATAAGGATAAGAGCGGGGTTGGTTGTATACAAAGATTTTAGTGTAGCGCTGGGAATTATATTTTTGACAAGGCAAGGAGGGATTGCCCTTATTACATTAGATTAATTGAAAAACTGTATAAAATTTAAATAATATTATAGCCAAACGTTTTTTGTAGGATTGAGGTAACTAAAGTATTTTATGGAAGAATTTAAATATACATAAAAGCCTACTAATACTATTCAATGGAAATATTTTTAATCTCTACATAGATAAATTAATTTTCCTTTTTTTAATAACAAATTTAATGTGCTGATTTACTAATTACCAAATGATGAAACATTTTCTCTTGTGGTTTCCTTACAATATATAAGATTTTTATAAATTATATGATCGTATAATAATAAGTAATAAATTTAAAATCAGAGAGACACCATCAATTTCTAAAATAATCTCTCATAGTAATATTTTTATTATCATAAGGCTGAATATTTCCATTCAAAATATTACTAAAAAAGATGTTCACTATGTGGAAGTTGGACATTTATATGTAGATATTGGTCAATATTGTATAGCACAGAGATAACCTAACCTCGTTATTCAACTTTAAACTCCAGGGAAGATGAATCGTATCAATTTAATAAGATCAGAACTCCGAATTCGTACGCATTGCAGCCCTTCCGATATTAATGAAAACCATTATATTTAAGCATGTCGTTTTCATTTAAAACTTTTTTCAAACTTGTATGCTTAAATGTATAATGCAAGGGGAGTTAGCCGCTACGGTGAGCAGTTTCACAAGTATTAACGGTTGTCAATAAGAGATGGCTAGTAACAGCGAAATAGTTAACTTAAGATAGGGATGCTTAGTATTCGCGTGTAAGGTTAAAAATATTTTTTTGTTCAGAATCGGAAATTTCCATCTGCGTTTTAGGATTTAGATATCTAGGAACAAATTTAGTTCCTTGTTTGTTTCTGAATATTGGTTGAAAAACTCACTTCTCACTTTAGATTCGAGATAATCTAGTCCTTTAATCTATTTATGGATTATACTTGACAGTAATCTGGCTTTGATAACCTTGAGATAGCCATTACTTACCTGTGCCTCCAAGGCCATTGCTACGGTGAAGGCGTAGCAGGAGCCGCAGTCCGCCTGGTCGAGAGACCGGGTCCGGAAACCACGCTCCCTCCAGTCCAGCTCTTCCGGGATTTCCTCTTCTGGAGCCTCCAGCCTGTGCTTGAGTTCCTTGGGCAAGTGTCTACTACCTAATAATCCGCTAAGACCTCCTGCAAAAAAAAAATTTTGAACTTCATCAGGTACAAAAACATACCATTCCGTGAACAATGGTGGTTTTAGTCAGTGCTAGAAATAGAAGGGGGAGTACAAAAGGGGTCCTAGTTCCAGACTGCAAAATATATGGAGTGGCAAATTTCAAACGAAATTATATTTTTTTGGATAAATAAAAATTGGCTTAATAGTGGCAAAACTATTTTATTAAAAGCCAACGTTTCGACCCGACTTTGCAGATCTTCTTCAGGGAGGTGTGTTCAGCTAGTAGTTTCACTTAGAACTCGTGTTCTGGGGTTCTAAGTGTGGTTTTTTGAGTTGAGTTCTAAGTGAAACTCTTAGGTAAACACACCTCCCTGAAGAAGACCTGCAAATTCGGGTCGAAACGTTGGCTTTTAATAAAATAGTTTTGCCACTATTCAGCCTATTTATGACCGCCACCACGAACCATCTTCTTCCTTTATAATGTAGTGGTCAACTATTAAATATTAAATAAAAATTGTTTTTTCTGATTTTGTTTTTATTGTTTTGACATTAATCCAGTCTATAAAATGAGTTTATACTTATTTGAATTTATATTTATTTCGTACAATACTCTTGAATTTTATGGGCGAAAGGAGGGAATGAAAGGGAGAATTGTTGCAAAGAAAATGTTCTAATTCAGAGTCGGTAACGACCTGTCCTTAGGTTTCAATTCTTTTTTTTTTTTTCATCATTTCGATACCATTAATTAGGCATCATTCTCTAAATTATTAGGTACGAACTTAGCAATCGTTCAAATAAAATAATTAACTTATCAAGCCAAAAGACTATGTTAATAAAAAAACTACTAGATAATATACTCTGTCGGTAAAAATCTGTAAGTGACAGAAATTAGGGGTTGAATTTGTTTAAAACTTGAGTGATCCATCAGAAAGCTTTACTTTGACTCTGGTATTCATTTATTATTAAGCTATGTTACATATTTTTAAAAGGAATATTTGATGTAAGAAGTATAAATTGGAAGTATGAACACAATTTACGGATTTTATTAATTCTTGGGCACTAAAGTTTATGAATAACAAGAAAATGGAAACTAGCAGTTTTTTAGATATTTTCTGAAAGCAGCTATTGCAATTGAAGTTAATGGATTTGAGAAAAACGGATTAATGTAGCTATTTCACAGAGAAAGTGAGAAAATTTTTCACTCAATAATTATATATATAGTTTTAAAATCAGTATCATATATAAAAAAAATCGATAAACTTTATCCTATTTAAGGGAGATCACTTAATGATATATTAGGCTAAGAACCATCTTTATTAATTATTGCTTGGATATATTATATGAATTCAAAAACCAAATAAGAAAAAATACTGACTTGTTATTTGTCGGTATTTACTTTGGTATTAATATATATTTTTAAAAATTATCTTTGTTCGAAAAAAAAACCGTTGATTAAAAACTAATTAATTCCTACTTGCTAGATGAGGCCGACTTTTGTCCACGTCTGCAAGATGGTTAAGAGTGAGATTGTAAGAGTGTATTCCTTCCGCTGCCGCATCGTTGTGTTCGAGGACAAGCTGCTTGTTCTTCTCGAATGTGGACTTCCGGCGAAGTTCTTCTGTTTGGGAAATAAAATCCTTTCCTGCGAAAGAAAAGAGTAACATTTTTTTTAACTATTAATTTTGGCAAATATACCTATTTATAAAAATTTCCGGCACTATTAATGAACTTGGCGATATCTTACTATTTTTGCCAAATAGAAGGTAGACGTAATGATAATGGAAATCGCTCAAATGTGAGACTTGTTAAAGATTGTATCATAAAAGCTGCTAGATAATCTATAATAAACAAGTGTTTTGATTCTATCAGTGTTGGTGAGAAGATGAATTGGTTAAGTGGGGTCTGCAAACACCTAGTAGTGGTGTTAACAAGCATAGAACAACTATGTTTATATTGTTGAACGGACTATAAACATGTGTTCGAATTTGAATACAATGTGTAGAACGAACATTCTGTTCGTTGCCGTCCATTCGAGAGGACTAAAACGCAAGAGTTACACAACAAAGCTTAGATATTTATATGATTTAATAACACGTTCCCTTGCAGTACTTCAATCTAAAGAAAAATCGTAAGATCAGTCCAACAAATAAGATATTAATAATACATATATTTAATAGGTATATTTATTATTTCATAGACTTTTTTAGGGCAATGGAACATATTTGTTCCGCTTGAGAAGCAGTATTCACAAAACCCATAGAAAGACTTAGTTTTTTACGAATTATTAATTTTTTTAACTACTTTTATTTTCAATAGGCTTCGTTTTATTATATTTTTGCACTTTAGTTACCTCAATAAAAGTTGTATTTGTTGATTTCTTGTATTTTTTTCCACCAGATTCTCTAATAAAATATTTTACCATAAATAAATTTTCTTTCGCACCGCGAACAACGGTAAAAACGAGTCTCACATTAATTTAATTATAATATATTTTTTAAGGCTTTATTGAGTTTTTTGAAACTGGTTTACAAAAAATTGTCTTAAAATTCGATCAAATGTAGTTCTGTCATATAAACGGTCAAAGAATGATCAAATTGTTATAAATAGGAATTTCAGCTGATAGATATTATAAATAATCATTATAATATCTTTACAGGTAGTGAGTAAGTTGATTCTAAAGTAGGTGATTATAGTTTTGAAACATGGAACTGTGAATAAAGGTATAAATTTTCCCACTAGAAATATCATTACATTTAATTATCAAAAATGTTTTAATTGGTCATTCTTTCATCCGAAAGGCTCAAATAGCGCACAGTGGAGTATATAATGAAACAACCCTAATCAAACTTCAAAACTACGAGAAATCAATATTTCGAGAATTCGATTTGATAAATACAATCATTATTACTCATATAGTCAGAAAGGCTGATATCAACATATGCCTCACTGTCTTAAAATAATGCGTTATGGCAAACTCCGGGTTGGACTAACGTTAAAAAATAATCAGGCTGTTTCAAAAAAAGGGTTCCTACCATAATCGGTTTAAATTCAATTGAAAGGCTCCATATGTGTTGCCTATTTGGCAAGAAAAGGTGAAGGCCGCAACGCACTTGACTGATGATAAGGATCAATCGAGTAGGATATTTGCCGTATCGTCATTATACGAGCCCCAAGAAATAAAAAGAAGTAAAACAAAGCTTCTGGTTATAAATTAAATAAGTCTCGACTTGCCCAAAAAATGGTAGTAACCTGGAGCAGATCATTGTGAAAGTTAAAATTAAGTGTCAGAAACGTCTGGGGTAGCTCAGTGGTAGGCTACTGAGCTCCCAATGCTAAAGGTACCAGGTTTGAATCCCGGCTCATGGCAGAAAAATGATTTATTCTGTTTTATACACCGTGGAGCGAACCTGGAAAAGGATGACCCTCCTGGGGCACGCCCACCATCTATAAAGTGGGTTCCATTAATTAAATAATAGATTAGGGGGAGAAACCTGGCGGTTGAGCGTGATCTTGGCCGCTCTCATCCCTGCACAACCGTTGACCAAGAAACAGTGATTTCCCTAAATAGTACTGAACCCAAGACCCTTCATGAGTTGTAGTGGTACAAGTTTTTTTTTTTTTTCGCAGAAGCATCTGTCCGTGCTTTACCAAATCTGATAATGATTTGGCTAAATATAAAGCTTTTACATGCTATTCTAACGTTTAACCAGAATGTCGATTCAAAGTAAAGAAAATTGTCACCTGGACATAAACTTTTCTTGTCGGTATACAATACTTGTGCCATGTGTATTAGTATCATATGTATCGATTAATACATAAAACAAATTTAATGTTCCCTTTTTTTATATGTTGGGATATTTCCTACTAAAAAAAAATTCGAATACTTCTTTCGATATAATAAGTAAATTGAATTATATATAGTTTTTTTGCTAACCTCTCTTGACTTATTGACATTCGTTCGCTACAGGGCTGTAATAGGCGATAGCTGTGATCGTTTTTTTCTCTTATAATCGTAACAATATCCAGGAGCCCGTGCTTTATAAGAACCGGACGCGATCACTTATCACTCCCTCTTTATCAGGATGGTTGGCAACCTTTTCCATACTTCTCCATCTTGTTGTTTTTAACGGGATAGGGTTAATCGCCCTGCCCGTCAATCTGGAGGATCAGGAGCTATGTAGTTGGAAGACACAGGAGTCGCTCACCTTCCTATGAATCTCAGGGTGGGGACGTTACGTTACCGTTCCCATGCTGGAATCGAACCCCCATCATAGTGGTCTAAGCAATCGAGTAGAGACTGCACTTATATATTTATTTTTTTTATTTTTTACCTTATACACGCGAACGAGATTTAAACTCGTAGCTTAAAATTTTTGCAGGCGCTTCAATTCGCTCGACCACCCCACCCCATATTTGTTTTTGGTTTTATTTTTTTATTCACACCTGTCATAGTGGTAATGACAAACAGTGAATGTGAGGTTGATTCGAAAAAATAATGTCATGAAAGGCATTACGAGGATCAGTGCCCAGCGGCACCTCACTCGGCGTGATATCCAGGAGGTCCCTCATCCAGCTCCTCTTCAGTCTCCTACAGACGTTACCTGGTATATTCGCGGTGGCCATGTCATTTATAAGTGTATTAGGATGTCCTTGTAAGCTCTCATGGAATCATTTGTAATGAGTTCGTATGTGTTCGTTAACAGTCGGTATATGGAGGTCAGTATGTAAGTAAGAGAAATCACAGCACATCACATTTACGCTTCGACATGAAACATGCCCTCCAGTTTTCCTTGACAAAGCACAGATTTCACAGACACCATTCACTACCTTGGTCTGACATTCGACAGAAAAATGACGTGGGGCCCACATATAATCAAGAAACGAAAAACGCTAAATCAAAGATTAAGAATTCTGGGCTCACTTCTTTCAAACAATTCAAAACTAAAACTTAGACAGAAATTGAACACATACAATTACTTACTAAAACCATATCTGTTAACAAACAAAAATATAGAATGATGTGTAACAGAATAATTATCTGAAATGTGGTACAGAATTAACACGTTGCTGTAAACTTGAATGCGCTCGATTAAACATAAAAAAGGAAAGATTTCATCATACCAATTTTAAGGATTAATCGATTTTCAAATTCAGTTTTATAAGTAATAAGCTTTATAAAAATAAATCTTCTTTTAAATGAATAACAAGTAACTTTTTTTAAAAATATAACCGACGATTGTAAGTAATGTAGATAAGTATGAATATGCTTAAGATGATAACTTTACGTATAAGTTTTATTTTCTTTATGCTGTTTAATTTTATTTATTTCTTCTATGTATTACATTGCTATTACTTAATTTTTCAATTTACGAGGAAGGTACCTCCTGTCGCCTAAGGAACGACCAATCCCTATTTTACAAATAATACAAATGAATGAGGTGTATAAAATAAATTATTAACTAAGAGAATAGTTGAAAACTTACATCCTTAACAGTTAGAAAAAATATTTAAATATTAAATATTTAAAAAAACTATTGTGTGTGCTTTAGACCACACGATATAAGTGAAAACATCAACAAGGTTAGATTATTAATATGGAATATAAATTATAAATAATAGCTCATCACAAAGAAGATGAAATTTTGAACATTTCCCTCGCTTACAGTATACAGATCCGATTTTTGGTATCTGTAATATTTTAATCCAGATGTTCAACTAACCTCATCATTTGGTATTCAACACTATTTTTTTCCTTTTCGGCTCTCTAACACGCTTTAAGATTCTATTTTGAATTATAGCCTATTCAGATCCGATTTATAGTTTGTGCGGTATTTTAATCTATATGTAAAAATATTTTAATTATTCAACTCTAGCCGACATTACCCGAGCGCTGAAAACGTATCTAAAGAAGTTTTCACTTCAAGCAATTATAAGGGCGCAGTATTCGGAAACCCGCACAGCGCTGGTGTTCTGCGGACTTTCCAAATTATATGTACAATAAAATATCGGTCACTAAAAACTTTATATAATAGAGAGATATTTTCTGTATATACGGTTCTCATATGCATATTAATGTGTTCTGTCATCAATATTATAATTGTCCTTAGTTGATGACTAATGTAATATTTTCAATAAAAGAGATTTGTAAAATGTAAATAAATAACTGGATATATATCTTTTTAATTATAAATGTGTATATATAAAAAAAAACAAAAAACTATTCCACTACAACCCATGAAGGGTCTTGGGTTTAGTACTATTTAGGGAATGTACTGTTTCAAGGCCTACGGTTGTGCAGGGAGGATATCGGGCCAAGATCATGCTCAAACGCCAGGTTATACCCCTTAATCAATTATTTAATTAAGGGTACCCACTTTATATAGGCTGGGTGTGCCCCAGGAGGGTCTCCCTACCCCAGGTTCGCCCACGGTCTTTAAAACAGAATAAATCATTTCTCTGCCATGAGCCGGGATTCGAACCTGGGACCTTGAGAACTTGAAATGTGTGTATGAGATCCCACAGATTTTCTTTTGATAAAATTTTTTGTATTTATTTATTTATTTTTTTATTGAGTATTAATACAGTCTGCCACTATGAAGGACATTAGTCAAACCATGAGTTTGACTGTCAATTTTTTTTTTT